AATTATACAAAAAGTAAATCAAGCACTTTACCCAGTTAAGCACATGAGGCCTCAGCAATATGCAAGGGTTTCAAAAATGCTGATTTACTTGCACATTTTGATAGGTTTTTGGTTTTAATCTATTTGAGGACAGATGTCACCAATGACATCTTTTGGCGGCATCATCACGAGATAAAAGGTTTCCATGGGTCTGTTCAGTGATAGACGGTCATCAAACAGACATCAAAACGCTGTAAGAACGTCAGTGACACACTAGGCCGCACCAAATATGCCACTTTTTTTATTCCTATCACATTTTGAAGTCATCTGTGATCTATCATGCAGCAGAAGCACGGTAAGATGGGATCAATCTGTCAAACTGACAGAGTTACATACATTACACAACGCCAGTAGAGTTTTCAGGTGTTTGCGTAACCAAGCTACATTGGTTAAGATATGATGCATGATTCGTACTACAGACTCACCACTTACACAAAAAAGAAGTAAGATGTCACCTCACCACATATATAATGCTGCTTTACACGCTCTTTGAGTCGCTAATTGTTGTAACGAGCATGGCAAGCGGAGAACAAAAAGTTATCGAAGCTAAATCTCTTACGCGTTTGAGTCAATCAAGACTTGATCACTTACATATTCTACTGCCTCTTCTTCGTCTGCGTCCTCTTCCTCTTCGCTTTCCTCGTCACTGTCGAGTTCTGGACCAATGTAGTTTCCGAATTCATCATACAGATCAGCCTCCATTTTGGAAAACGTGCAGCTAACGTTAGGAGGAAGACTGAAACGAGATTTGGTTGTCTAGTCCCAGGGCTACTCAAGCAAGACGATAAATCACTAGTCAGCGGAATTTCCCTTTAGAGGTATTTTGCAATATGGCGGACCATTTAGGCGAACACGTGTAATGAGAGAATTCGCTTCTTCGTTGGTCTGAAATAACCTCATTATTACAAAAAGCCGAAGTCATGGGTCGCATGAGGCAGAGGCATAACTGGAAGGCAAGGTTGCAGCCAGAGGCTTCGAAAAAGGACACGAATTCAGCGCTTACTGATGACCAGAAAGGTGTTTTGGAAAAGACTACGGTAGATGACGACTACAAATTTTCCCATGACGATTCCAACATTCTCGTCGCCCCGAGTAAGAAAGGCAAAGTTAAGGTAGCCATTAAGAACCCAATTGATAAGCGAAAGAAGCTAACAAAGAAACAACGAAAAAGACTGGAAAAAATTGTCGAGACGAAGAAAAAGAAAGCTAAGCGAGCAGAGTTACTTAAAGCGCTCTCCGAGTATGCTGTCAGTGATAAAGAGTTGTCTCAAATGAGTTCTACGACTGATCTAGGCCAGTCTAACACAACAAAGAAAAGAACGATTTCGGAAGTTGAAGAAAGTGCAGCCAGAAAAGTAGTCATCTCAAGTGTTCGCTGTGGTCGTAAAAAAGGCAAAAGACTGCGATTAGAGAGAAAAGCCCTCGATCCTGCTTCTGCTAAGATTGCAAAGACGATAGAGGAAGAAATAGAATCTGGAGAATCATCAGAAAGCGAAGAAGAGGATGGAGGTAACCCCGATTCGTTGCAGGAGGAGAATCTACTCGCGGAAAGTTTACCTTTGAATGAACAGACTACAGACATAGAGGAAAAAGATGAAAACAAAAGTGATCGTTCAAAATCTAAAGAGGATGCAGGGGAAAATTCTGCAGAATCAACAGTTAAAACGATCTCAGAGAAAGTGGAGACCGTAAAAAAGGAATCGAAGCCGGCAATTTTCATGGAAGTAAAGAGGAACTCAGAAATTCAGACTGCAAGGCTTCAGCTTCCGATCCTCGCCGAAGAGCAAGCTGTTATGGAAGCGATCCACGATAATGACGTAGTTATCCTTTGTGGTGAAACCGGAAGTGGAAAGACCACTCAAGTACCTCAGTTTTTATACGAAGGTGGATACACTACACGAGGACTGATTGGCGTGACAGAACCACGCCGGGTAGCTGCCGTGACAATGTCACGTAGGGTAGCACTAGAGCTGAATATGAGTACCGAGCTGGTGTCTTACCAGATTCGTTATGAAGGTGACGTGACAGAAAATACCATCATGAAATTTATGACAGATGGTGTGCTACTCAAGGAAATTGAAAATGACTTTTTCTTGTCAAAATACTCGGTCGTTGTGATCGACGAAGCCCATGAGCGAAGTGTATTCACTGATATTTTAATGGGACTGCTTTCAAGAATAGTTCCAATGCGTAAAACTCAAGGTAAACAGCTCAAACTTATCATCATGTCCGCCACACTTCGTGTGGAAGATTTTACAAGTAATACGCGTCTTTTCTCCATCCCACCCCCGGTTGTGACCGTGGAGTCCAGACAGTTTCCTGTAACTGTACACTTTAATAAGAGGACGCCAGATGACTACCTAAATGAGGCATTCCGTAAAGTTTGCAAAATCCACCGCACCCTACCCCCGGGAGGGATATTGGTGTTTGTGACAGGTCAGGCCGAAGTGCACGGTTTATGTAGAAAGCTGAAGAGAACATTTCCTTGCAACCTGCGCAAGGAAAATTCGAAACAAAAGGTAGATGCAAGCGATGAAAACTCAGGTGATGATGAAGATCACTTCGATCTTGATAGTTATTCCGTAAACCCGGCTGTGGAAGATAGAGACGCTGAAGACGAAGATCTTGGTGAATACAACCTCAACGACAACGACAGCGATAGTGAGTTTAATCTCGACGACGGCGCGTTTACGCCGTCGATCGATAAAAATTTACCCATGTTTGTTCTGCCGTTGTATTCGCTTCTCTCGAGCCAACAACAAGCTAAGGTATTTCAGCCACCCCCCGACGGGACTCGGTTGTGCGTCGTAGCGACCAATGTAGCAGAAACGTCGTTGACAATTCCCAACATCAAGTACGTAGTGGACACGGGCATGGTAAAGAGGCGTTATTACGATAAAATCACTGGAGTGTCTTCTTTTAAAATCACGTGGACATCCAGGGCCTCAGCCAATCAAAGAGCAGGTAGAGCTGGCAGAGTGGAGCCTGGACACTGCTATCGTTTATATTCTTCGGCCGTGTTTACCAACGACTTTGAAGAGTTCTCAGCACCTGAAATATCACGTCGTCCAGTGGAAGACCTTGTGTTGCAGATGAAGGACTTGAACATTGACAAAGTAGTAAACTTCCCCTTTCCTACTCCGCCTGACCTAACAGCGTTGCAAAGCGCAGAGAGGTTGCTGTTAAATCTAGGCGCGCTGGAGGAGAAGAAGACGATGAAGGGAAATGTGAATGCAGTGATTACTCCTCTTGGACGCGCCATGGCTAAGTTTCCTGTGTCTCCGAGATACGCAAAGATGCTCTGCCTGGGGCATCAGGAAAATTGCATGGAATACGTCATCGCTATTGTATCCGCTCTCACGGTGAAAGAAATCTTTGCAGATGACAATGACAGAGAAACGAGCCAGGTAACAAAGGAAGATCTGCGAAAGATATCTCGCTTGCGGCGGACTTGGGCAGGTCAAGGTGACTCCCAGAAGCTCGGAGACGCGATGGTTCTTCTTAGAGCTGTTGGGGCTTGTGAATATGCCGGCTGCACAGAAAAGTTCTGCTCTGAGAATGGACTTCGTCACAAAGGAATGATCGAGATCAGAAAGCTCCGTGCCCAGCTTACAAACTCGGTAAATCTTGTCAATGCTGATGCAAAAGTGATGCTTAACCCTCGGATGAGCCCGCCATCACCCGCCCAGTGCGTTGCCCTTCGGCAGATATGCCTATCGGGCCTTTGCGGCCATGTAGCCCGCAAGAACCCCACAGGAAATGACCCCCAACGAAAGAATGCTTACAGCTGCATGTCCCTGGGTGAGCCTGTCTTCATTCACCCATCCTCTGCGCTCTTTGAAGTGTTACCAGAATACGTGATTTATCAAGAAATCGTCGAGACCTCAAAACTTTTTATGAAAGGTTAGTCTGTAATGGTTTGAAAGTGTTGTCAAAACGAAACTACAAGGAAGGAAAACTTATTCATGACAGTGAAACTAAGAACAGGCCTTATTTTACTAAGATATCTGTCGCGCAGGTCAGTAGGCCAAACGTATCCCACCTCCGCGTCTCAGTGCGGCGGGAAATTCTTTGCGCCGATTTCTTTGAGCTCGCGGGCCCGATTAGCCCCCTCTCCCCCCAAGAACTTTTTACCCTCTGGATTGAATGCAGGCATTAAAAAAGCATTGTTAAAGTAACTACATGACATGTCCATTGCATAATGCTGCAAGCCAAGGTCTCTGTTGTTAATCTAGACTCATCTTTTTTTCTTCACTGTAGGTGTTATTGCTGTTGAGTCCGATTGGATCCCAATTCTGGTCCCGAGTTTGTGCACATTCTCCAAACCCCTCGAAGAACATCTGCCTCGTTATGACTCCGACGCTGGCGTCGTCAAGTGCCACATGAAATGTTCATTTGGACCCAAGTCCTGGCAGGTGCCCCCTCAGGAGCTTGAATATCCTGCGGGACTCGATAGATACAAGTGGTTTGCAAAGTTCTTGCTCGAGGGAAAAGTAATCCCAGCATTTGCAAAGTTTGTGCCATTCCTGTTGTGCCCACCAGTTACAATGATCAAGTCCTGGGCAAAACTACAGCCGAGGACCGAAATCCTACTAAGTGAACTTGTGAACGGGAAGGCCGATAGCAAGATTGCCCTTATGGCCGCTTTAAAAAAAGATCCGAAGTTTTTATTAGCTACCCTGAAACAGTGGATTCCTCAGAGCAAACATAGCGAACTGACTTTATCATGGCCACCTAAAGACTAACACGACTCTAGCGCTGAGTTAGAACTGTCTTAATTCGAGCTTTTGCGCTTTCCAATTGCGCGATTTTTATTAAATGTGTTGTTAAATGTAGGGTTTCGCGTAGAACCGCGGTAAGATGCAACCCAGACTAAAGGTCGCTAATGAAAATCGTTCATGGGACATAAATACTTTGTTATTGTTAACCAAACCCTTGTAGCCACTCGGAATACAACAATGTAGAAAATGTTCCTATTTATTTACAACTTCGGTCGCCCGACCTTTCACAAAAATTAATTTAAAGTCGCTTATCTAACAAGCAAGAAGTTTCAATGCGGGCTCTTTCATATTTACCTATAATTACAATAGCTTTTACTTTATAAATAATAAATTAACTAGACTCTTCAACTGATATCGTAAAAACTCGTTTTCTAAAATATGACATGTACCCACATTGTTCGCACTAAAATCGTTGGATACCACGTTCGGTCGAGTTCACCAACTTCACCGATCAAACCCCCCCCCCCCCCCCTCCCCACCACAATCTGTCTGTTACAGTATCGTTTTAATTTTAGTGTCCTCTGAGCAGCTCAGACCTTTTTAAAGAGAGACCACCTTCTTCACTTGAATCCTAATTGCTCTACAAATTATACTTTCTTCATAGGAAGAAGCTCCTCGGGTGTTAACTCCAGTGACTTATTTTTCCGTTTGAAAAAACCAAGCTGAAAACAAGTAAATGAAGAAGGAGGTTAAAAAAATCTAAAGAAAAAGACTTCATTTCCCACGAGGATCTAAACCCCAGATCTTCGGATTTCACGATCCGATGCTGGTGAAGGCAATTCAGCTTGTAAAAACACATGATGAACTTGACTTAAAAAGACGTAGCGTCAAAGTGCATATATAATGAAAAATTTAGCAAATTTTCCTAGTGCCGACCTCACCCATCATCGTTCCGCCTTGGATCATTTTTTTAGCTTCTATTGTGAACGAGAATTTTCCAACAGGCCAAAAAAAGATACCCCACATAGTCATAACAATCCTCGAACATCACATGTTATTTTTTGTAAATGTCATGCATTAAATCCAATTTAAGTCTATTTGTACAAAAATTGATCTTTCTAACTTACGTTTCCAAGCCCTTTTTTCGATGAAATATAATTAACAACATACAAACCTTATAGAGGATAAAAACTGCGACTCCGAGCAAAATGACACCACCCAGAACTGAGACCAAGTATACCCACCACGGGGTGGATTTTTTACCGGCAACAGGACGTTCAGGCTTGGCTGTGAGAATGATCTGCCAAAGAAACAGTACCTCCTATTAATGAAAATTAAAAACCTCGCAGAACTGTAACTAAAGCAATTTTCAAAGACCGACCGAACAGTTAAGGAAAACTGCCCACTTATAAATTGGCTTGTAAAAATTCGAAGCAAATAGACGTACATGGCCAGCGGAAGACATGGGAGATTGTTTTCGTTCAGAGAATTTACGATTGGTTTTGTATTTCCAAATGGTGATTACCCTAGAAAATAATTATAAGGAAAACACTCATCAAAACAGGTTATTGTATGGTCCAAAAACCCGAGCTCACATTTTCCTAACTCTTGTCCGGACAGAACTACAATTAAAGGTTTACCAAATGAAGGATGCATATGTAAATTTGCCTAGTAATTTTACATTTGGTACATTCAATTTAAGCCGAAAATTTGAAAACGAATCAACTCCCCTGGCTCAGTCTCCTTAATCAACTTCGATCGATCAATCACACAGTGGTCGTAAAAAAATAAAATACAAAGTTAGTTGCATTCAGTACCAAATTTTCAACACTCTAGTGTCGTCAAATATGTTCAGAAACAGACTTTAAAAAGAGTATAATCAAGCTACTCACCGTTACAGCATCATTTCCTACGTCCGGCTGAGTGACTTTCGCTGGAGGCTGTACTTGTGCGATCGTTTCAAGTTCCACTACTGCTGGCTTATCGAGCTGTAAGGTAACATCAAGTAAATTGACATATAAGGAGGGAGGAGGGTTGTGAGGTCACAAAGCTCCCTAAGAGGGTAAGGTGATGAATGTAAGAGAAGATTTTTTTTTGAAGGAAAGATTCTCAATGATTTTAATCCAATATTTCAACCCCAAAGTGCCACAGCGCACATTTCGACGATTATTTTAACGTTGGAGGGTTTCCTCCGACATACACACAACACTTGATTTGTGACATATTCATCTTATAAAATTCAATTGATCTGCGAACAAGATACAATAGGCGAGGTGGGTCAATTATCTACTTAACTATGCTACTAAAATAATACAAAAATATCACAGAAAGAAAGGCATAAGAGGTGAGATGATATTTGGTGATTTGAAATGACCGACGATGACTCGTGTTCATAGATTTGACAAAAAAAAAAAGTCAAAGTGGGGAATTGTTTTGCAACAGAGCATTATTGAAAAGGTATGGCAAGTCATGCAAAATTTTTGTCCAACGATTCTTACACACAATATAGATCATGGAATATTAAGAATACCTTAATGAGTGTATTCTGCCACAGCCGTGATGTTAGTTTGATCTCTGCTTTATCACCCTGTCTCAAACGTCCCAAACTGCACTGGAATGATTGGCAACCGACTTCTCCACAGCTCTACAATGTAATAGGCTGTTAAAGATTGAATATACCGAACCATTTTTTTTCAGAGCCTAGTTTGCAGCGCTTAAGAGTATTGCTAGTCCTCTCAGACGCAATGCTGAACCATAACAAATGATTCTCTGGCAATTCGTCGAGTTTTTCTGATAATTGGCTTGTGTACCCATTACACTCATTCTTGCCTGAGTACACAGCACATGGTTTATAGAAGTTTAGACCTATACCAGTTCACCTCGAGACGAGGGGTCGCCCTATCAAATATGACAAGTTCGCCCCACCTTTACCAATTCCCCCCCCCTCCCCCACCAAATCTTTTAACTTTTATCCTGAAAATGTTTCTCCCAATACACTCGCCCCAGCCAAGGCTCAAGCCCAGACCTCCCGCAATTCGATGTCCAGGTGGGCTAACCATTAGATCACCACCTCTCTCGTGAAAGAAAAATTGGCTAAGTGAGCCGAAAGAATGTTCGTAAAAGTAACCTTTTTGAAATGAGTCGTGAAACCGCATGCAACACATTTTTTCGCACAGATTGTCAAAACAACTGCCAAGTTTATAGCGAGATTTGTTTTGCGCTTAGTTGTCACAACCAAATTATCTTGTTATACTCCTCCAACCACGTAGTACTACAAAATTCCTTAAAAAACGTACCGCCTATATTAGATTACGGTAAAACTGTGTTTGAGTATACTCGCTCAAAAGGAGATATTTTGAAAGCGCCTGTAACCCACGAGAACTTATAATCATACACACCCATGCGTATTTCATGTACTTACCAGTCTCTTGACGTCACGTGTCCGCCTCTGTTTCACGGAATTCTCGGTGCTGATGGATTCATTCAACTGCACTGACTGTAAGAAACCAAGAGAATATGAACTGAAGAAACAAATTACACAGAAGAAATGAAAATTGGAAGGCTGAATGAGTGCATTGCAGATAGCTGTAATATTCATTCGCAATTAACCGAGATGAATTTTATTATATCAAAAAATGTTATATTATTATTATCATCAAATTATCAATAACTTGTATTAGCATACACTGCATAATTAAGTGAATAGTGATTTTCGCGCGCACTGATTGGCTAGTTCGAAAGTGAGTGGCAAGTAGTATTCAACTCCGAGAAGCAGATGAGACAAAATCGTTCGTCAATTAAAGGTTTAATTTCCGACCAATTTTTTAAGTATATTGAAAGAAATAAAGTGACTTTTTGATATCTGTGTTGACTGTAGAAAAATAATTATTCACCTCAGTGTCGGTGAAAGTCGTGGATAGTTCTTAATTGTGACCCGTGGATGAAATTTTCATTACCAGCGCGTTTTCACGCGTTCTTGGATAACAGATTTCTCTCACAACCCCCGGGGGAGGGGGTTGTACATCATAAGGTGAATACTTTACCTTAATGTTCAAAGGATTCACAACAGCATTGCAGCTTCCTGAGCCAATGACCTGAAAAAGACCAGTACTTCCAACAATCAATGAAAGAATATCTCGTATGTTTGATCAGGCTCTCAGACTGGTCATGAGAAGCGATGGATAATTATTCCCGAATTTTAATCTCACCTCAACTTGAAGTAGATACATGAGAAAACTTTCAGGATCGTCCTTATTCAATAGTTTAGGTACAGTGATCGTCAACTGAGACCAGTCTACCACGCTGGGACCGTGATTGAAAACCTAATGTAAAGAAAAGTGCTGTATGTTAGCTAGGACTAAAAGGAATTAATAAATTAACACAGCCACATCAGTTTGTAACCAGTACCTAGCATTTAAAAAAGTGCAGTCTGTGGAAAGCTCACTTCAAGTTAGAACGTTCCTTGACGAAATTTCGCTTTGCTCATGTCACCAATTTCTCATATTTTGGCAAAATTTTACTTCAACACAAAATTAACTACATCGCTATCAGTATACCTTGATAGTTTGAACAATCTCAGGTCCAATCTCCTCTTGAAACTCTCTGACTTTCTCCTGCGTTTTTACGGATCCTGAGTAAATGACTTGGTCTGGTTTTGAATAACTGAGTGGAGACAGACTGTGATTAGTACCATACTTCTTGAAGATAATCAATCTCAGCGCACAAGTGAAATACTGCGACGAATTAGGCATGCGTAACAGACACTTTGTATGATACAGTAATGCGGATTGGCGTACCAACTTCAATCAATACCTACCCTTTAATCTCCAGATCTGCCTCATACTTCACGGCAATAAAGAATTCCTTGCTGTTGTCTTTCTCGTTGGCATCTAAGTCTTGGCTATAAACATACCAAAAAGTTTTTCACACAATATACAGCACCAAGATAGCGTTTTCCAGACGCTTTCTTGAGTCAGCGTCATAAACCGAACTAAAGCAATTGCGATAGCCAACAGAGCCAGGAAAAACATCAACGGAGTCAAAACTGAAGAACCCAAAGTAAATGCAGGCTTACCGCCTCAAACGCGGGAAAATGCAACTGACCGAATTAGGAACTTATGATTAGTTTTGGTCGTAAACCTGATTGGTCGAGAGGTTGGCATCTGATTGGTTGAGAGTGGGAAGGTGCAAGTTCCTAAGCAACCACATAGCGATGGAAAGCAAAACCACAAGGAAATCTTGGACAACAATCGATAATGATTTGAAATTGCGCTATAGCAACAAGTATTACTCTGATTATAACATCCGACAACTCAATCGATCATTTTGACAACGAAAGTTCTCAATCTTGACAGAAAAAGCCTTTACAAAACTTTGCCCAGTATTTTAAAAGCGACTGCCTTTGACACCCAAACGTAATGGACATAAATTGATGGTAATCACCAAAGAAAACTAATGTGAGTTAACTCACCTTTCAGCTGTGACAATAATGGAGATATCTTCCTCTACTGAAGCCGCTGAAAATTTGATACTGAATGTTTTCTAAGGTGAAATTAGTAAAGGCGTAAATGTTAGTTTGACTGTCGTAAGAAAGACTCCCATCTGCTCACGGTATCTACTTACGAAAAACACGTTGGCGATTCTTAACACCATCTCAAAACTTTTCGGTAAAGATTTTCATAGGCCACTTACATTACTAAGTCCTGGAAGAGCCACCTTTTCCACGTCACAGATGACGGAGAGCTGGGACTGAGTGTCATTGTCTAAGCTGCGGTCGTGTTCGCACTGAATTAAAATGTTGAAAAGGAAAATAGATGAGAAAGTTTAAAGATGTATCTCGAAAAAACGTGAAAAGACCAAACAAACTAGAATATTAGAAATTTAACAGGGAATCGACTAGAACTCAAAATAAACATGAAAGGTCGCGATCGACTTCCGTCTTGCATCTGATTGGTCGAGGGTGGTTCAAGTTTTCCCAACCAATAACTGTCCCGGATTATTCTTGTCACCTCATTGAAAATTGCTCAAAACATAGATATTTTTTACTTACGTCGCCAGTTCTCTGATAACTCAGTGAACTCGGGTATTTCACTACGAGTTTGGAGTAATAAGCGTAATCGCTAGCCTTGTTTGATACTGTCAGTTGTAGCATCAGTTCTTTCACGAGACCTAATCGTAGCTGACTGTCAAATCTGCGATTTTCGTCATGCCTGTCAAAGACAAACATAGAACGCGATTGAAGCCTCTAAAGCGACCTTCAAAAGGGTCTCAAAAATCAAAAGCAAAATCGATAATCGCCACGGAACTGTCATCTAATTGGTTAAAAGGGTGCTCCAATTCCAAACTATTTCGACTCATGACAGTTGTGTTCAATCCAGTGAAATCCAATGACAAAGCTAAGTGCAGATTAACCGAATTCAAACGGTTTTTGTTTTTTCCTGCTTACCCCAATAAAACCACTTTTCCGTCAACTGCTAAGTCAGGTACACAGACCTTTTGATTCTTGCACCTCTTCATAAAAAATGCCTGTGACAATAATATAACAGAAATATTAGGAAGACGATGACAAAATACCAAGTAAATACAATGCAAACTGAAAATCAGGACTAAGAGAAAAGCTCAGGAAATTTAAGACACGTTTGGATTAATAGTTTTCTTCCCTTATAGTTGCCAAATATAACAATATCTTCTTTCTGCCAGGCACATGTATAGTTGAAATGTAAGCACAAATCCATCGCGTAGCAAAAAGAAAATAATGGTTTTTTTGAGTCTCTTCTCATTAACATCGTCGACAGTATCCTTCGTAGCTAGCGGTTTTAGCGGTCAACGGAGGCAGCGTAGCCGCGGAAACCAACCGCTCGTAGCTTCAAAGCGTCAAAACAATTGCCAGTTGTATTTGACACTGCTCCTTACCTTCGCCGTGTGAGTTGTTGGAAGAGAATCATTTAACACTGGGCAAAGAGTGCTGCCACAAGGCTCAACCAACCCAAAGTCAAGATCAAAGGTCAGTGAAGAAGCAACATCTGCAAGATTGTCTTTTTCCTAAACAAAAACACAAACAAACATTTTTGTGAGTTTCCGCACTGTTCCAAAACTTACGACACATCAATGCACTATACGTTACATGCCTTTAGGTAGACAGTTCGGGGTGGGGTACATTGACTCCCTCCTCGTTTCGTGACATTTAGGACGCCATTTATTGTGTGCAATTTGTCTCCACTGTTCTCGTCCAAGAAGAACATGCGGCGAAAAAAGTTTGTCCCTCTTACAACTTTCACGCGGTCTAGATCGACTGAATAGGTTATCCCCAGGCCTACAAGAGAAAATAGTAGCGGATATGTTACCAAGAGCATAGGAAATTCGACGAGACATTGTAATATTGTAATCGATGGTGACTGAACCAGTAAACAGATCTGGATTTACAGTACAATAGAGCAAAGTAGTAAACATTGCGATAGTAGAGGCGGAGCGAAAACGAGAGAGATTCGGGTCGGGTCGCGTAGACCCAAACCCAACTCGTTTTTTAACTCCCACACTAATATCGCGCCGTTTACTATCGCAATTTGTTTAGCTAACTGAACGCCCTAGAACGGGACATCTCCGTTTCATTACCCGCTGAACAACCTCGTAATATGTTAGCTGAGGCCACATGATATCTCGACAATCTGTAGACCATGAATTTTCGAAATTTTGTTTAAAAATTAGTACAGAAAAAAGCGTTACTGTACCTGCAAATTTTGCAGCTCCTTTATCCTTATTTGAGAAACACACAGAAAGGTTCAAACTAAAAGATGAAGAAACATATCGATTAAGCAATCTTGAAGAAACGAACTAAACAATTTTAACAAAAAAAGGGCTCAGCTCTCTCGGATCAGTCATAACTTTAAATCAACAAGTTGTGTTGAAGGAATTTTACTACTGACGGTACGTTATGGTGACAGTCAATGGGTAGCCTGTTCCGAAAAACGAACAAAGAAAAAATACGGGGGGGAGGGGAGGGGAGGTGGCAAGGGCGCTTGTCAGTCATCACGTCGTTACACTTTGGTTCATTCGTCCACATCTTATTTTGGTGTTTTTTATGTGTCATCAAAATAATATTTTGTAGTCTTTCTCGACCTGAGGTACCTTTGCACATCGCACGTTGACAATGACTCAGATTATTGAGAACTAGTACATCTACATCCAATCAAGTCCCCGTAAAAATTAATTTTCTTCTTAGCCATTGCATAACTTACCATTTATAATATTTCCCTCCATCCAAAAGACACAAATTGTCATCGCTCTCTACAACGATCTGGTTCCTACTCAGCTGAATCTCTCCTTCGGCATTCACGATGGAACGAGTTCTGAAAAATCCAACATGAGCAAGGAATATTAGCTTACAATGTTCATAGTCCGCCAAATTGGCTACTTTTGTGGCAAAAAGGGCAGAAAACAACGATTACTGATGCAAACAAAATCAAAGCCACTCAAATTAAATCAAGTAGTAATAGCAAATATTTCTTTGAATAATATTATGAAAGAAAAGCTTCAAAGTGGCGAGATGGGTAGAGAAAAAAAAAAGGCGAAGTGGTAAGCGCAAAACGTAAAAACAACTGTCAAGCAAGTTTCTTTTTTTTTTCGAGCCAAGGGTTTCAGCAGGATATCTACGTACGTTTAATTTGGTTTGATAGAATACTTTTCCTGACAATACATACCTAAATAGAACTGCCTTATTCGATCCGTACGCACCGACGGCGATATCTACGGAAACAGAAAAGGGCACCGTTACATCCTGACAACAAGTGTACACTAACGTAAGGTCAAGGGATTTAAAAGCGGTGCATCTACCAAATTCCCCCCTCCGAGATACAAGGTGTCTTTTGACAATGACGAACGAAAGAGGGATCAGAAATTTACTTATTCTGAAGTATCACCCTCTTATATTTCTGAATATCTACTATTTAACAATTATTAACCGAAGTGGAGGTGGATAGTGGTTGACTTTACCAAGCTGCGAAGTGGCAAAGTAAATATTCATACAAAATCTATACTACAAAGATACCAAAAAATAAGTTTATTTCTTTCAATATACCGTAAAGTGGTCAGAATTTAAACTCTTAACGCGCGATTTTGTCTCATCGGCCGCTCGTAAAAGATAAGTACTTGCTATCTACTTCCGAACCAGCCAATCAGCGCACGCGAAAAGCACTACTGATAAAGACTAATAAACGATATTCTACCTGGATACCCATTGCTGTCCATGTCAACAATTCCAGCAAGGCTTGAGCCAAACAATCTCAGTCCTGGATCCACGGATGAACCTCTCAGTTTCTGCAACGAAATAGAAGAAAGAAAAGCTGAGAGAGTTACAGGCGCGGGGGAAGCAATTCAAGTCGACTCTTTCAAAAGAAGATTACAAAGACTGAGGGACAGCGTTCAACTAAGCACCCAAGAGTAGATTATTGAAAGGCGCAAATCCAGGATCAATGGCTACAATTGTTATAATTTGAGAACAGCCGGGTTTAATAATATCATGGCCGAAACTTTCCAATCAACTATTTGTGCTTTTTCCCCTGGATTTCAAATTAAAAGAAAATCAATAAGAGCAGTAAAACTATGCAATTTATTATAGTCAGATGGGAAATTGTATTCAAATGGCTGAGACTAGGACTGGACAAACCGATTTAACACCATTTTGAGTTAGATTAGTTGGAGGAAAACTTTGAATTGGCCTGAAGACAAACCTGTTTGTATGTAGGGTTAATTCCACTCCTGGAGCCGTGGTAAACGTAAACAGCACCATTGCCTTCGAAAGGTGCACCAACTGCAACATCTGCTAGTCAATAAGTGGGGTTAAAGTGGAAACACTTAAGCCTTGTGTCTCACCTTAAAAGCTTTCAGAACTACAAAGGAATTATAAGGTCTTATCTGGCTACTGTCACACACTTCTTACATTTAATTTTGAGCACCTTAATTCTGTACCAAGTTAGCCTGATATAGGAAGGACGTAATTAAAAAATGAAGGATTATCCTCCTAAGGTAAACTGTACCTTGGAAGCCATCTTTGTTTAGGTCTCCCACTCTTGCTATTGCTCTACCAAACTGTCCATAAGGTATGTTGTCACCAACGAGACCGAGAGGATCTTGTACATCGAGTGCACCCTTAAATATTGATAAGAAACACAATATCTCTCTTAATTTGGTGTCGCTCAGAAGTTTAGTCTATAGTAATATCAGATGCGCTTTAGTTATAATGACCATTACCTATAGCCAGGTTAGTCTAAAATATGACTGTGCCTGATGATGATGACGTCCGTTAAATTTGCAGTGAATGATTAACGAGACAAATTGAAAAAATGACTAATGACTTGAATGATTTAAGAGCAGAAGCACTGACTGACTGGCTGACTGACCAGCTGACTGAATGACTGATTGGCTTACAAACGGACTTTGAATGATTTAAGGGAAGAAGCACTGACTGACTGGCTGACTGACCGGCTGACTGAGTGACTGATTGGCTTATAAACGGACTTTGAGAGGGAATTCAGAAATAGAAAAAAGATATAACGACATAAATGATCTACGAAGGAAGAAAGTTTCAGAAACGAAAAAAGTAACCTTACCATCTCATTGTTAACGTATACAAACACCCGCCCCTCATCGCTGTCTGAGGCCAGTGGGGCACCGACCAGTAAATCTGAAAATCTGAGAGAACGGAGAGGTAAACAAAATTAGAACCTTTTCTTGCCCAGCCTATTGAGTATGAGATATACACATAATCGTGTGGTGTGTCCACAATACTGACTTGTTATTGTTTAGATCAACCACGCAGATCGCGCTTCCAAAATAACTCCCAACCTGAGTAAGAAAAGTAAAAAAACAGGTTAAGCTTCGAATCATTGTACGGGTACGCTGGTTTAGAAAAGCCATCTCCAATAGTCTAAGACTTTTCACCTAGAAAATTCATATACTATGATTACGGACAACTCAGCCAGAATCGTTTTTAGGTAGAAGTAATCCACCAAATGCTTATATTTCGCTTTATTCTTTACTTTGCTATGAGATTGATCAGTTAATTGGTCAAGGAAACCAGCGCTATGCACCCTGTCAGCTTGATCTCCCGCGTTTCCCAGCGATTGAGTACTTTAAATACGGTTTAAGCCCTCTTAATCTCCTTGTGGTGTTTCCTTTGTTCTGATTGGCTGTTACGATGTTACGGGTTTGACACAGCTGACGACTCATTCCAAAAGCGCTTTGTTCCCCTCATTTCTCTTACTTTAATTCCTGGTGGCGGGAGAATCTCTGACTTGATTTGTATGTCATTTCTGTCAAGCGAATACGCGTACATCATAACCTGTGGGAATATCGTAGTTCAGTCATTGTTTTCTGAATATCTGGGGTAATAGGTGTATCAAGGTGGAGTGAAAAGACTTTAGCTGACATACTCTCTGACTTTTCAGTCCTACTGTTTGTTAAATCAGGTGTCGGCAAAGTGTGAAAAGAACTACCATACCTAACAAGCCTACATGTTAGTGTCAAAGCCTTGTGTCTACGTTATGTTAACAAGGCTTTGGTAAATAATATCTGCTTATTTACGGAAAGTTTGGTAATAAATCTTAATTATAAGACCGAAAAATTAAGGTCCCCGTACTCACTTTTCCACGCATGTCGTTTCCTCTCGGTGCACCTCCAATAAATTCTGCGACGATCAAAATAAGTAAATAAATGAATGAATACGCCAAAGTCGTTTCACAAGTCAAGGGAAGGGGAAAATTATTTTAAAATCACGCCATCATTTACCTGTTGATTTTTGGCTCCAAAAATTACCACTTGAGATTGCGTAGCCTGAAAATAAAAACAAACGAAATTCAAGGCTCACAATTCCTTTCGGAAGCAAATAAGATTGTTTAAAAATGAATGCATTAATCATCCATACCCATGTACGCGTGTATTTTCAGGGAAGCAGTCGGCGAGAAAATATTCTTTTCCGCAGATAAAGAATAGGCAGCCAAACCACCTAAGAATAGAAAAAGATAAGTGGCAGTAAGTCTAGGAGTAAGACAGTTATTTTAGCCATTCTTTACTTTACTAACTAGATCAACATTTTTACCTCTGCCGGAGGAAAATCCAACGGTACCCATTAGTAAATCCTCGCCACCTGCGCTGAATTCGGCGCTGATCCCTGCTTGACAGTAACCGTAAGGTTGTCCTACTCGGCCTAAGATAAAAAACAGTGCAAAGTAACAATGAAACAGTCCCGAACAAACGGTCAAAGAATATGTAATGCCAATATGTGGAATGCTTCGATTGCTCAACGCAAAAACAATACTGCCATTATTTATTATATTTTTTATACCTTTGCATGGGGAGATCGCCTCTCGTTGAATACTAAGGTCTCTGTACATCAAGAAACACCTTCCTATCAAAGCGATGTACCGGTGATCGATCATTCCTTCCTTGCTCGTGAACGGTGCCTCCGTGTATCGAGGAGCACAAGTCTGACATGTAAAAGAATGCCATACAATTAAATTGATCGAGAGGTTTTTAAGTTATCATTAGCGCTGAGGCACGTGCAGGGGCACGATGTACAGAGACTATGTCAATTAACTTGATCGGACTAGGGACTTCGTTAACTTAATTTAAGTTTAAAGACCTTCGTCAACGCATGGGTCTGGGTTTCATTTTTCTCCGGAAAGCTCTCCGCACTCAACAATCATGTGTATCTTTCTTAATTCCTCCTAAAGTAAAACCGACCAGTTGCCAAAATATTTCTTTTATTTAAACAAATCAACAGCAACAATAGAATAGAAAAGAAGAGACCAGGATTAGACTCCTGATCAGTGGAGAAGACGGGAAAAGCGGGTAGGCGCAAATGGGAAATAGCTGGACTGTTGGTCATTTTTTTCTTTCCAGACTTCCGTCGTACGTGTTTTCCCGTCGTCTCCGCGGACCGCGAGCGTAACACAAATTTATGACTTACCACCACTCTTCCGTTCTCGCCAGAGCTATGCAACGTCGCCCCTAGCCACTGTTCCGTTTTCTTTTCGACTTCAATGGTGACGGTCCTGTTACCCAACTGATGTACCTCCTTCTTTGGTGCTGCGATAAAAACGCTCGAGTTACTTTAGTGTGGTTTGTGAAAGCATAATTTGTGATGGGACAAATACTGAAATGTAGAGCGGATGTTTTGTGAACAACCGAACCTAAAAACTCGACTCCATTCGAAGGAGGCGTGCTTGAGTTTTCCGTTGACTGAAAGGCTTCAAACTTCTGCCTACCTTGCATACCAAATCAGTCAGAAACGTTTGAAATAAGCCTTATCACTATTACATCATAAGGCAGATTGAACCCATGCAGGTTATAATTATGCTTTGTGGAAATTCTATACTCTCGTTGAAGATGTCTCCCTTCAGGATTTCTCTTCTCCCTGCCCCTTAGGTAAAGACAGATCCTGGGAACAAGATTGACTATGGATATCTGTTGCCGGATGTGTTGCTGAAAAAATAAGAA